AACACAACAAACCATTTATTCCCAATAAATAAATACATTTACTTTGCAACACAAAATTTATTATGGGTAGACCAGGATTCGAACGCTATACCTTCTACTTCGGAGTCCGTCAAATACCGACTGCGCCACACAGCTGTTGTGAAATGTATTATCCAGCGTATTATTACTGATAACTTGAAGCCTTGATATATGAGGTTTTACTAAAGTGAAACGTTTTTAATTGTATTTCATATGAAGTAGTTTCTCTATACTTAGTACAGGACTGCTCCACATCACGCACACACACGTACGCACACACACGTACGCACACAGAGGCAGACGGGGACAGCCAATACAGTCTATGGTACAGCCGCGGATCACAAAGCACCTGTCAAAGCAATGCACTCTCCGAACTATATGAAGCACTATATGAACCGTGACGTGGTGCGGCCGCTACGCGAGGCTTCGAACGTCACCACATACGTGACCAACACACGCCTCGAACCACGCTTCAAAAAATACGCCCCCTTTTTACTCGGTACACGCTTCGAAGACCCGGCACGCTCAGCACATCACTATCTACAACATGTATGGACATTTATCAACATTCATGGACATTGGTCAACTCCCCCTATGTGGACCCCCTATTCTTTGTGTTAGAACTGTTTGATTCTCTGATCTGTGTTGGTGAATTCAACGGTTTTGTCAAGTCCTCTGAGATACAGTAACTACTGTGATTGTGATTTAGTGCTTTACAAGAATATATGGAATTGAAATTGAGCTCACGACTCCGTGAAGCTGATCAACTTCGCGGACGACACCACCCTCATTGGACTCATCTCCAACAACGATGAGTCCGCCTACAGGAGGGAGGTGGACCGGTTGGTGTCCTGGTGCAGTGGTAACAACCTGGAGCTGAACGCCCAGAAGACAGTGGAGATGATTGTGGACTTCAGGAAGAGCACTGTCCCCCCGCCCCCACCCTCCGTGATGGACTCCCCCATCACCTCTGTGGAGTCCTTCCGTTTCCTGGGCACCATCATCACCCAGGACCTCAAGTGGGAGCCGACCATCAGCTCCCTCATCAAGAAGGCCCAGCAGAGGATGTACTTCCTGCGGCAACTCAGGAAAGCCAAGCTGCCTGCACAGATGTTGGTGCAGTTCTACATGGCCATCATCGAGTCCATCCTCACCTCCTCCGTCACCGTGTGGTTCGCTGGAGCCACAGTCAAGGACAAACAGAGACTACAGCGCATTGTGCGCTCTGCAGAGGAAGTGATCGGCCGCAGCCTTCCATCGCTGCAGGACCTGTACGCCGCCCGAGCTCGAGGCCGGGCTGGTCGTATCACAGCCGACCCCTCTGACCCTGCACATGGACCATTCCAACGACTCCCCTCAGGCAGGAGGCTGCGGTCCATCAGGACTAGAACCTCCCGCCACAAGAACAGTTTCTTCCCCTCTGCTGTTGGACTCTTGAACACTTCTTAACCTGTCCCCCCGCCCTTTATAAAGTAACTTTACTGCCCATCATACGTCACTTTACTTCACTGTACTGCTGTCACCTTACATTGTGTGCACCATGTGCACTTGTATATTGTAAATAGTAACTGTAACTCTTTTTTAAATTTAAATGTATTCTTTAGAAGTGTTTTTTATTCTTTATTTTTATTCTTTATTTTTATTATCTCTTTCTGACTGTTGCACTGAGCCAAAGCAATTTCCAAGTCTGTGACTTCCTGTTACTTACGTGGTAATACAAATGATTCTGATTTTGATAAAATGTGTTCAAATAAGATGAAGACATTGAATTGAGATAAAATTTGTTCACAATGTTTTACAACACTTTTTCTGATAAACAAAACATGTATTAGAAAAATAAAGTTAGGTAACCCCACCTTTTAATATATGACTTCAGTGAAAATAGAGTATTTATAGAATCGTCATTTAATATAGACAACATGCTGTCCTCACTGTAGAACATTACATCACATTAGAAAACATCTTTTTCATACTTTTAAAAAAGTGCCCTGTCATTATTTAACTTTTTGGGTTGACAGCTGATTGGCTGAGTGAGAGTGGTTCTCTTTGCAACTTTTCTTTCTGAAAAGCTGATGTGACAGAAGCCTAAAATACATGCACATTAAAAAGTGTGCGTAGTGATGGCACCACTATTTTGAGGGTTAGGAGCTATTAACATTGATTTTTATTAGTTAAATCTTTGTGGTTTGAATATTAAATACCACAGCTTTGATTTCACCAACACAAGAACATTGAATTGCTGAAAATCTCTCCCATGTCTATACTGTATGTTGCTAAATCACTGAAAGAACATAATATAATGCATTAATGTTGGCTAATAAAATTATTTTTACTTTGTCATTTGATGTATTAGAATGTAAAATAATAGTATAAAAACCGTATATCGAAGAAAATATATTGTGAAAAAAGTTAAATAATCAGCTACTACCAGAGGGAGGAGTTGAAATAGTTTTTTCCTAACTTTGCAAATTACCGGCTTCAAACACAGTTATACGATTGTAAAGAACGTCATATAACTTTACCACAAAACGAAATTACCACAAATAATTGTATGCACAATTCTTTTGTTTTAAATGACAGGAAATTGATGATCGGAGTGTGATGTCATAGTGGAATCATCACATCATACTACCGTATTTTTCGCATAGGCGCACCTGATTATATGGCGCACCATCAAAGTATGCATTTATTTTCATACATAGGGCGCACAGGATTATGAGGCGCATTCAGATCATCGGGTAAAACATGACTCAAATTATTTACCAGTATAAACACTCTAGATTAAATAGCTCAACATGTTTCAGTAGCAACATTTAAACAAACACAACTTGGTTATGAAAGTGACAGAATTATGAAATACAAAACAATTGCAGCTGCGATGCTATTAGCATCATAGCTATTACCATGCTCAACTGTGTCGCCGATAGTGTAGCTTAAAGGCCCAATCTCAATTCTCTTTTCTACCCCTACCCCTTCCCCTTCCCCTTCCCCTTGCCCTCGCCCTTCCCCTACGGCTTAAAAGCGAGTGGTGAGGCAAAGGGCTATGTCTTCAACACTACGAAATGGTACACCCCTCGCTCCGTCTCATTATTATGACGTAATCCCTTACGCGCCTCTAAAACAGTGGAGTTGCGGATGTTGTTCATTCATTTCTTTACTTTTCCAGTGTAGACATGCCGTCTGAAGCTCAACTTGCAGCAGTTGCTTGTTTGCTTTGTTTGTTTATTCGCCTCACCACGTCAAGGCGAAGAAATGTTCGGAGACGTGGATTTCTACGCCGACTCGCAGTTATGTCTGAGAATTACGTGGTATGTATTGTGTTTGTGTATTGACCGTGTACGGTCCTCGACGCTGATCTTAAAACTATTCACTCTTATTTACTAAAGAGTGAGTTCAAATACATTAGGAGATAAAACACGTTGAATGGTGTTATGTGTGTTGTAAACAGTCAAGTATTTTCTGACCACACAACTGTAAGATAATATTGTTTTACAGTTATGTGTGGAGGTTTCCTGTAACTGGGGGGAGGGGGAGTACCTGTGTGTGAGTTGGGGGAGGATTGTACTTGCATTTTTGTGTTATATAGGCCTATATCTAAAAGTGACTACAAATTTATGTATTTTATGTATGTACCTTTGCAGAGAGGACAACCAGCAAGATATTGCCAGCTTAACAACGATGTCCCCATTTTGAGGCTCTGGTTCAATGTAGAGCGGGAGCTGAAGCAAGATTTTCGTCTCACTAGACGAGCGATGAACAATCTGCAGAGACTCCTGCAAAGAGACCAGGACCATGGCTGGGGACACCAACTGGAAGTACTGATCTATACATACTGGTTGGCTCACGGTTTGTCCTACCGCGTCGTCTCCAGTGTTTTCAATGTGCCTAAAGCAACTGTTCATAGGGTGGTGCACAGGGTGGAAAACTTCATTTGCAGAAATCTGCCACGAGCAATCAGTTTCCCTAAACCAGATGAGCTTGAAGAAATAGGACAAGGATTTGCCAGGATATCCGGAAGTCCTGCCTTCAGCTGTGTTGCTGGTGCAATCGATGGTTCCCATATTAGAATCAAGCCCCCACACCGGCACCACATGGACTATTTAAATTACAAGGGGTTCCATTCTATAAACATGATGGCAATCTGTGATGCAACTGGCCGTTTCCTGGACATATTTGTTGCATACCCGGGCTCTGTGCATGACACCAGAGTGATGAAAAATAGCACCTTTTACAGAGCCCAAAGATATCCCCCTCCAGGATACATTCTTCTTGGGGACGGAGGCTACCCCTGTTTTGAGACTCCCATTACACTAATCACGCCATACAAGGAGCCTGTACATGACAATGCTGAAAGACGTTTTAACTTTCATCATTCTAAGGCACGGAGCATAATAGAAAGAGCCTTTGGAGTGATGAAGACGAGGTGGAGGTCCACACTTTTTAGAGCTCTGGAGGTGAAGCCTACATTTGTGCCGCTGGTTGTATCCACGTGTGCCTTCCTTCATAATGTTTGCCTGGCTAATGGGGACCAGCTAGAGCCGGACAATGACATTTTAGCAGATGCATTTGACCCTCAGCCTCCACAGGAACGTCTCCTCCATAATGAAACCCCTGGCAACGCTACAAGAGACAGGCTGGCTGCCATTTTGGGCAATGCACAGTGATACTATTTTAGAGTTTGTACATAGTTGATGTGTATAACAATTTTATATTTTTGCGACCTTGTGCTGTGCAATATATACCGTTTGAAAAAAACTTGTGTGAAATAAAAACTTTAAAAAGATTTTAGAAAATATTTTGTTTACTTTATCAAAAAGTATTGTGTAAACACTTGAATGAACATTAAAGCAAAAATAAAAATAACAGGCTGTGCAAATCTAAAAAAAACAGTCTGAGGTAGAATTACAATTTAAAATAAATAAAAACATTCAAAATCAAACCTTGAAGTCTAACAAGTGCACAAATGTAAACAATTGTCCTTTTTACATTTTGTCCACCAGCTGCTGAAACAGCCCGAGGAATCTTTCTGACTTTTCCTCGCTCTCCTCATGCCTCTTCTGCTCTTTTGTAGATTCTTCTTTTAAAAACTCTACAATTGCACTTGATTTCCTTTTTCTTTTACGGGGAGAGGGAGATGCAGCAGGAGGAGCTGGAGGTGGAGCAGATGATGCTGTGGGTTGGGACTCATCCTGATTTGCAGTAGATGAGGATGGTGCAGCTGCAGAGGTGCTGGGCTCCTCAATTTCCTATAAAAATATGCAACATATTATTGGTAACATCATTACAAAATACTACTGCATTTATAATAAATTACCAGCACTATGGTTGTGTTGTCATCCTCCAGGAATGAGGCCACAACAACAGGAGGATCCACCGATGGTCTGGAGCCCAGCACCTCATGCATATCCTCAAAGTATTGCCAATCAGCAGCAGTTTTCTCCCCCTCCTCAGTACCTCCTTTGCCTGTTTTCAGGAGTTTTAACTCCTGGCACACACACAAAAATAATGCCATAAACTTTAATATTACGTTGTGTCTTCATAGAGTATGTAGAGGTATTGTATTCCTTACCTTATATTTCCTTTTTAAGTTTTCCCACTTTTTGGAAGCCTTATCTGGACGAACTATCCCCTCCAGCCCGTTCTCCTTTAAAAAGATCCTAAACAAAAGTAACCAATGATAAATGTCATGCAATTAATTTATTATTACTGTGAAATACATGCATAAAATAACGTACTCCCATTGTTTTTTGGCGCTATATCTGGACTTTAAAAACTTCTCCTCGTTTTCAGCTCTGAAACGTATGAGTTTCCGCTTGAGCTCAGGGGACCCTGTTGAAAAGACACACGTATTAAAAGCTCACGATACAACAGAAATGAGAATGATAACGCTATAATATGATAACGCTATAATATGATAACGCGAGAATGATAACGCTATAATCGTAGTTATATTAGTTTATATGACAAGTTTCGTTATGCTCCGAGTCCGTAACAACAACAGCGCGATTGACATGCGTCTGACAAGCTACATTCTGCCGTAATATGTACATTTCAAACTTATCATCAAAACAAAACACGTTCTTATAGTTTATTTAACGTTAAAATTAGCAAAACATGCTTACATTTGTACGAGTCGGTCGGCGCCATGTTTTCTTGGTGCGGGTCAGCACGAAACTCCTCCTACCCCTTCGTCTGAAGTGTGCATCTGAAAAACCCTCGCTGGAAGGGCTATGTGGCCCTCTCCCTCACCCCTACCCCTCACCGCTAAATAGAATTGGGACAGCCCTTCGTCTCTCGTGAACGCGCACAACGAAGGGAAAGGGCTAAGCGGAGGGCTAAGGGGGAGAATTGAGATTGGGCCAAAGTCCGTTCCTTTTGGCCATTGGAGCCCAGTCTGTGGAAATCTTCAAGAGTCAGCTCAAGACGCACTAATTTAGACAGGCCTTTAAGATCTTGATGTGTATGTACTTTGTACAACTTGTTTTACTGTATAGTTTTTTCTTTACTCTGTATGCTCTATATGTATGTATTGATCTTGCTTTTAATGTGTAGCGCTTTGTGACCCTGGTCTGAGAAAGGCGCTATATAAATAAATTGTACTTACTTACTTAATAGTAGCATTAGCCAAATGTAACAGTAATATTCTCATGAGGCACCATAACAATGTGTTTGTAGCTTTAGCAAGAGATCCAAGAGATGTTTGTAGCGTTAGCCGGGAACCGTCGGCGCTCACAAGCAACGAAACGTTTGTTGTTTCACCCGAACTATTTAAGTGGACTCACTTGCACTTTTACAAACAAGAGTGAATAAAAGTGGTTTGGATGCGGGTACAACTAAGTGCATGAGCACAAACAAAGACTGTAAGACCCGGAACTTTGTTTGGAGTTGTACGGCACGATCAGATGCATGCGTCTCGTATTTGCACATCTTTCATTCACGGATGACGCATTCGTCTTCAGTGCCGGCTCGGACTTTTATAATTTGGCATCAAAACTGTTTACAGGCCGAGCTATATACTCTCAGAAATTCATACATAGGGCTCATCGGATTATAAGGCGCACTGCTAAAATTAAAGACTTTAGTCCGCGCCTAATGATGCGAAAATACGGTATCACAGGACAGAGACAGAAGCTATTATACAGAAGGGGCGGAAGTTTATGCCGGAAGCTGTTTTTAGCTTGAATGGATCTAAAAACAACTCCAGATTTGTGTTTCATGAGGAAACAACTTTTTTTACCAGCCAGATGACTTTTTTTATCTATTTAATGTATTGTTATGTGTGTGACTACATCTTGATTTGCTATCACCTGAATGCAGCACATACTGTGAACTACCTTTCAAAATAATAATAAAGAGGAAATTATTTCTAAAAATCTAGAGGTCAATCTACATATTATGTCTCCTTTAATAATGAGAGGTTTTTTGAATAATGGACGTTTAATCCTGCTGTACGACCATGCACTGATGCAGGGGCTCATCCTCTCCCTTTTGCCCTGTGTCGTGTGGCGGCTCAGTCATGAGATCAGCCTCTCCTGTCTTCACCTCTGCACTATTTAGGCTGTCGATCAAAGCCACTCTCCTCCCATTAGCTCTGATGTTAAATTGCTCTTGTGTGATTGTGTCATTGGGCTCTCCCTTCCCCTTTCTCTGGGGGTGACTGATATGACCTTTAGGTACACTGACTGACAATTACTGTCACCGAGAAATTGAATTATTAACTTTCTCTGCAGACCGAGCCGCAGGTAGGTGGCTGGTAGTTACAGCTAAAATGCTGTAATTACTTAGCTAAATTGCCATATTATATTTTCGCGCCACTCCTATTCCTTTTCCATTCTTTCCCGAGAATGATAAAAAAGTAGGTTAAGAAGAAAGGGAAGACCGCTGTGCTGAGTGATTTCTGAATGCCGCTGGTAACCTTTTCATGCTGTTGATTGTCAATAGGGACAATTTGGGGATGTCACTTGGCTAAGGGGATTCAAAAAGAAAGGTCACACTTCTGTCCTCGGCTTTTGTCTTTTTGGAGCCTGGTCACTCTACATTTTTTTCGTCACGTCTTTCTATTTATTAATGTCTCTATAAAGAATGAAGCAGGTGATTTGACACTAATGAGAGCGCAGAAGGGGGTAAGTACTTTGGAGAAGTTGACATGGTATGCAGTGAAGCTTATATGACTGGCTTAGAAAAGGTATGAACAAGAATTATGTGCCTGTAGTTATGAGTGGCCTATAAGAAAACAGTGTGATATATATGTTCTCTCTGTCTTGATATATGATACTATAGGATTTGGCACAAAAAAAAATGTTTGTCTGTTTTTTGTTGAATCACATTGGATTGACTTACTGTAACAACATATAATCTCTCAATTTGTTTGGATTAATTTGAACTCAAATATAGATATGTAACATAAAGGGGATTATCAATATGCAATTTTTGACAGAAATATAAGGTAATTTGTTCACACATATGTGATGTGTTCATTAGCATGTACTGTCCCACATTTCTTTTGTGAAGTACAACATATTTAAAACTTGTTTTTTTTACACTACAAGTGGCCTCCAAATGTCAATCACTCAACAAACCAGTGAGATGTATTTCAAATGTGATTAGAATTCAACTTAGATACCTATTTTGACAACTGGAGCGTTCTTATTCATCTCACAGTGAGCACATTTCAGTTTTTCAGTCAGACCACAACATGCCATTTTCATCTTATTCAAAAGCATCTTTAACTACTTAAAATATAGAACCCTCTGAATCACTGTTTGACGCTTTAAGCTGAGAGATGATTGTGATGAGATTCAACGCTGAGTCACATCTTTGAATCAACTTTTCTGTCTGAAAAAGCTGACTCAAAGGCAGAGGTCAAAATAAACATGACTGTGAAAACTATTGATAACCAAATGTATCCATTTGTTTTAGTTTGCAAATAAGATGCCATGTTTATAAGAATTAAATGTATGTGTTATTTGGTTGAAATTTGGGATAGACTGATCCATATTTTGTATAGCCAATATTGATCTCCATAATGTGGTTTTCAATATCTACCCAGACACGATATGAACCAGAACCAGAGGAGGGCTTGAAAAAATCACAGCGAAATGCATCCAATTGTGTTTTTGAACTACTATCCTGCACGTTACAAGAAAACAACTTCAAAAATGTTTCCAATATTGGCTTTAATACCCGATACCAGTTTTGTATTAGTGCATCCCTAGTTTTATTTCAAAATGGAATACATTGTATATTCTTCTAAATAAAATGTGAGCTGTAGGGCGGACTTCGGGAACACAATATCATCACTGAGAGAAGCAGGCTTTTTTAAACTCAAATAAACAACTTTTTCTTGATCAGGATTGTTAAAAATGACATTGAAAAATAAATATGTGTGCTTAGTTCTACTGTACGGTTTAAAGCACGGACAATTTCCTCGTGCCATAGAGGACACTCTTGCTCACTCGGTCGCACCCGCAGCCCAAGCCTATTGCTCTTAGTTTTAATTGTCCGTGAACGAAGCATTGTTCTGTAGGATCAGGGTCTGGAGAAATTGTCTTGAAGCACATTCATTGTTACAAGCAGCACATTATAGGGCCTTCATTATTTCTCTTCTGTTATGAAGAATATGTTATTTGAATTTACATAATTTGCAGAGCTGTTCCAAAGACACTTCTATAAATAGCTTTATTTAACTTGATTCAAATAGAAGTCATAATCTGGTACAATGGTATAGTGTTTCTCGTGTATGGTTTTGTTATGTCAAAATTGCCTGCTTTTTGATAAATGTCGTGTTGTAAAATGAGAAGATTAATTTGTTGTGTGCGTGCTACATTTTTCACCGAGCACAGAGTTGACTTTCTGCTGACTTTGAGCTGCTCTAAATGAAGTTGTTGTCTGCGGTACAGTGCAGTTTGGTGTTGGGGCTTGTCCCACTTTCAAGGACTTTGCTTGTTTTCTAAACGGGCCCCAGGGCGATAGCTGTCCACTGGTGTAGCCTCACAAAGAAACAGCTGCTCATAGAAATACAAAATGCTTCATGTTTATCAAGGTCCTGAAAAGCATTGAATCAAGTGCATTAATAACAGAATTATGTCACTACAGTCGTACATATAGGGGAAAAGTAAGTAAGTAAGTAAGTAATCTTTATTTATATACCGCCTTTCACAGACCAGAGTCACAAAGTGGTTTACAATTGTTTTTTTTTTGTGGGCAATTGTCCTCTCACTCCACACAGAGATGGGAGCGGGGTCACCGAACAGGAGGCGCATGCCAGACCTATTGTACATATTTTTAGTGGTAGGGGAAACCGGAGTACCCGGAGGAAACCTACGCAGACACGGGGAGAACATGCAAACTCCACTCAGAAAGGCCCTGGTCCGACTGGGTTTTGAACCCAGGACCTTCTAACTGAGAGGCGAGAGTGCTATCCACTCAGCCACCGTGCCGAAACATTTCACATCTCAACAGCATTCTAACATTAGACATTATGGAAAAGTTTGATCTGTTTTTTGAGATCATTCATTTGTACTTTGCTTAACTTTTCACATTAATAGAACATTTGATCCAAGTTGCCCACACTTTCCCACCCCTCTATAAAGTATTAGGGGCCATCCAATATGAAGAAGAAGGTCCTTTATTTGGCCCACAATGGGGAAATTTCAGTTTGATGCATACACATACACATGATATACAGTACACAAGGCAAGCAGGGTTAAGTGTCTTGCCCAAGGACAAAACGACAGCAGACATCAGTGGGAGTCGATGGAGAAAGTCCCACAACCTTCGGGCTCAAAAGCCAATGCTCTACCAACTGAACCACTGTCGCCCCAATCAATATACATGGATTGTTCTATTAAATCAGACAATGTTAAGTCTTGCAAGACATGAATATCTCTCAGATCTTTAAGGTAAAAAAAAAAAAAATACCTTGATTTAAAGCTCAGAATCTGCAGAAGTTCCACACATCTATTAAAGATGACTGTATAAGGTATGCAGCATAAAAAGTGTTTGATCTAATTATTGTAATATACAGTGCCTTGCGAAAGTATTCGGCCCCCTTGAACCTTTCAACATTTCACCACATTTCAGGCTTCAAACATAAAGATATAAAAATTAAATGTTTTGTCAAGAATCAACAACAAGTTGGACACAAT